GGTGGATGACTGGGTCAACATGTTGGTAGTTTGTGTAGAAGCTTTGATCATAGCTTCTAAACCCTTTTCTAAGACACTTAAACGTTTGTCATGATCAGAATTTGAAAGATTTGTAGGCTGGTGAGGATGAGGATGTTAGGTTGGAAAAACTAGGTTAGCTTGTTGAAAATTGTTTAGTGCATTGAATGGAAGTGTATTTCCCCTAGGGAATTGTTGGTTCGACGCGGGAATGAAGTTTTGATTTCCGAGAGAATTTCCTTGATTCCATGCAAAGTTGGGATGATTTCTCCAACCTGGATTGTAGGTTAGAGAAAATAGCCATGCAAAGTTGGGATGATTTCTCCAACCTGGATTGTAGGTTAGAGAAAATAGATCATTTCTAGGATGCTGGAATACAGCGTTCATCTGTTCTAATGCATGGTTGTTTCCTAGGAGAGGACATTCCTCTGAAACGTGGGTAGGAGACTGACAGTTATGACAACTCGGGGTAGACACACGGTTGATTTGAGCTGGAGCTCGTTCCTTAACTTCTAAGGCTTCTAACCTCTGCATAATCGTCGCCAACTTTGCTTCAGAGTATTGTTTGACTTAGGGAAGACCACTAGACTTAGGATGAGGAACTTGTTGACACTTGTCATCATAGTGTTCCCACTACATTATTTTCTCAGATAGACTCTCTACGAATTCCCAAGCTTCATCTGTGTTTTTCCTCATAAAATCTCCCTGACACATCGATTCTAAAGATGTTTTTGAAGAATAGTCCAATCCTTCATATATGACTTGGCACAATCGCTATTTTTCTAGACCATGATGAGGACATTGGATTAAAAGATCTTTAAATCGATCAAAATATTTCCAGAATGGCTCTCCTGGGATAATTTTAAAGTTTTGAATACTGTTCCTAAGTTTTACCGTTTTATGAATAGGAATTTTTTTTTGAGAAAAACGGTGACAAATTCCTCCCAAGTTAAGATGGAATTTATCGATAAGCTGTACAGCCATTTTTTAGCTTTGTCCTTAAGAGAAAATAGAATAAATCTAAGCTTAATCGCATATTCGGTTAATTCTCTCATTTTAATCATAATACACACTTTCTCAAATTCCAAAATAAGAATATATGCATCTTCCGTTTCATTTCCAAGGAATTTGGAAAGCATGTTTATGTAATGCGGTCTAAGCTCGAAATTTACTCCATTTGCTTCGGGGAGCCTTATGCAAGACAAGCATGTTTATGTAATGCGGTCTAAGCTCGAAATTTACTCCATTTGCTTCGGGGAGCCTTATGCAAGATGGAATTGTATTTCTGGTCATTTGCTTCGGGGAGCCTTATGCAAGATGGAATTGTATTTCTGGTGGGGTAACACATATCCTGGAGAACGGGTTAATTTACCATTTCTTGGATTGGATCAATACGGATTAAACAATGAGAATTATCCCTAACCCAAGTTTGCATACACCAAAACAACTTCTTTTTATAATTTTTTTAAAAGAAAGAAAATTAGTTTTTTTATGAGAAGAAAAGGATAAAGAAAAATCCTAACTAAAAGAAATCAAGGCAATCATTTTTCAATCACTCTAATTCTAGGGTTTAGCCTAACTCAATTAGACCAGCTCCTAACTAAAAACTCCTACAATGAAAAGATTAAAGTTTTACCCAGGTAGTTAGCCAGGTAAGGATAGTACTAGAGTGAGATCAGAAATCAATTAAGTACCTCGTTCCTTGCGGAGCGCTTTACCCAACCCCTAAACCTTGTCTTAGACACCAACTAATCTGAGAAAACTTAAACCGGTTCACTTAAGGATTTCTTGTTCCTTATTAAACTCGAGTCCTTAGGGGCCAACGTCTAATAAGTTTTAGAAGGCTTGGGTTTATGAAGTGAGTAATTAGTGATTTGTGGGCTAAGAAAAGGATGATGAAATCCCTTACCTTATCTTAATTAGGGGTTTTGCCCTTAAGAATGTTTTAAGTATGTGTCAAATCAAGTGCTACAATCACTTTGGTGAATTCCTACAAACTATATGAAATGCAACCCTAGAAATTAAAAGCGACTAAAAAGGATGATAAAAAGAAAATCTTTATATTTTTTTAATTATGGTAAACAACAATCAAATGTGAGAAGAGAGCTCTTGTTTGAATTTATTATCTTGTTAGTTAATGTCCAAGTGAAAGGTGAATTTTATTATGGTTAACAAAAATAAAATCTTTTTTTTAAATTCTAATTGTCTCTAATTGTGAAGCTAACTAAAAATGGTGGAATTAAAAACGCTAGAAAGAAGACTTACCCGAAAGCAATTCTCTAAGTTCTTGATCTTCAATCCAAGATTTTTAAGCTCCAAGCGGTTCCTTCACAAGAAAACACATAAGTTAAAGAACCAAAATAATAAAATCCTATTTTAGCACCTTCCCCGACAATGGCACCAAAAACTTGATGCGATATAATTATGTACCAAAATTGCAAGTGTACAATTGATCAAGTTATAGTATAAAAAGTTATCGATCCCACGAGGAAGGTGATTTTAAGAGATTATTAGAATTGGTTCTTATGTGTTGTGCGTGACAAAAATAGGAGTAAAGAATAAGTGTGATTGTGATGAGTGATTGTTGTGAATATATGCAAGAGATAATAAATTGAATTTTATAGGAGAAGAAAGAATCAAAGAATAAATGAAATCACAAGTCAAGAAAGAAGAATGAATAAAATCAAGAAATAAAATTAAAAATGAAAAGAAAATTCAAGAAAGTCAAGATGGATGATTCAATTTAAGATATGAGAAATCTAGAATTGAATCCACTAGATAACTCAAATATAAAATACAAACTATTCTCTGTTTATCATATTTCAACTTAGATTTATTAAGCATAGACTATCAAACCATTTAAGGAAAGTATAACCTATCAAATTATCATCTAAGTTAAAATTACTATTCATAATAAGAATAACAACAAGATAGTAATCCTAGAATTCATAAGCATAACCTATCAAACCATTTAAGATAAGCATAGATTATCAAATTCTTCTTCTACCGATTAGTTCTCTAGTTGATTATCCTAAACATGAATATTTTAAGTGTAAAAGAATAATTTGCATAATATAAAGGAAATTAGACTAGCATCATACAATTCTAAGATTCCTACAAGAATTAGCATCATACAATTCTAAGATTCCTACAAGAATTAATTTCACATCTTAAGAAATAAAAGCAAGAAGAAAAAGAACTAATTACAAAAATAAAAAAAAAGAAAAATCTAAACTATGAACAAGAAATAAATCTAACTACAAAGAATTAAAATCTAAACTAAAAAATATATTACAAAAATTAAATGCAAGAAAATAAATCTACTCTACAAATTAAAGTGCAAAATGAAATAAAAAGATAAGAAAATAAATCTATACTACAAGCATGAATGTAAATCTAACTAATAAGCAATAATAAAGAAATTACTAAAAAGAAATAAAAGAGAAAAATAACAGAAATACAAACCTTCAAAGTGCTCTACATCTCCATCATCATCATTCAACAAAGAGGAGAAAAGACAAATTTAAAATGGAGAAAAATTATTATTATTATTAATTACAACAAAAGTTATAATTTTTGGAAGGCCTTCTCAATTAAGAGTAGCCCTTCCCTCCAAATAGAGTTACAAAATTTTTTACACCTCTAACTACTCACTCTCTACCCCTATTTATAGTAAATATCAGTGAATGAGAGCCATTGGATTGAAATCTTATCCAAAAACAACAAATTTCAGACATAGATCTGTAACAGAATGACGGAGGTATCGATACCAGCATCGATAGGGGTATCGATGCCGGCATCGATAGGGGTATCGATGCCGGCATCGATACCTAGCCTTCTCCTGTTGCTGTCCGAGCTTCTCTGTTGTTCTTGGACTTGAGCTTTTGGGCTTTGCCATTTCTTCTTCTTTTTAACTTTGGGCTTTTGGATAATTTGGCAATTGATTTTCCAATTTTTGTTGAGAGATGAGAGTTTTGAGATTTATTCTTCATTAACCTGTATTTAAAGATAAAAACAATTATTAGTAGTATATTTATTCATATAAAATAGATAATGAGGGTATAAAATTATAATAAAATGTGATTATCACTGACCCATAGATCCCAAAGCCATTTTCTTTCAGGCCAATCACTTCTCCGATCGACCCTTCAAGAAGGGTGGCTGAGCTGATCTCTGCTTTGGGTAATTAGAATCATGAGCTGATTGCTACCTCCTTTTGACAGGTTGATCGGGAGGATATTTCATTTATCCCACTGCCGCCTTCTCATGTCCTTGACAAATTCGTTTGGCATTATGAGGAGAAGGGGTGCTACACAGTTAAGAATGGATACCGACTTCTTCGCCACACTATCACTGATACTGCTTCCACCTCGGATTCTAGGGTAACAAAGTAGTGGTCCTTGATCTGGCATGTGGAGATCCCACCGAAGATTAGAGTATTCCTTTGGCGTCTGTTCTATGATGCTCTCCCCACCTCAGCTGGTTTATCTCGCAGGGGGATCTCTGTGCCCCCTTGTTGCCACCTTTGATCTGCTACCTTTGAGACCACCCTTCATATCTTCACTGTCTGCTCCTTTGCTCTTTTAGTGTGGGTCCTTAGATCTTTGGGAAATGATTAATGGTTTTCGAGGCACATTTTGTGGTGATTTCCTTTTCCATATCACCTTTGTTTCCCTAGAGACTCTCTGGCTTTGGCTTTCACAACCATGTGGTTTATATGGGGGAAAGGAATATGCGCTCTCATGATGGTGGTGTTAGAGAGGCTTTGGTCTTGGTGACTCGGATTCTCTATTTTGTGGAGTAAGGGAATAGAGTTACAGGTCTCTCCTGTGACATTGTCACCCCTTCTAAATGACATTCTGCTGAAGCACAACACAGATGCTGTTGTTCCTCTAGAAGGAGATATTATTGGTTTATGAGGTGTTATTTGGGATCACCATGGACATGTAATTGGTTGCTACTCTATAGGGATCAGGGGTCCTATGTCTGTGGATCATGCGGAGCTGTTGGCTGTCCAGGAAGGCATTCGCTTTGTTTGGCTTATGAACTGGAGGATTTCGGTGGTGGAAATTGACTCTCTAAAGGTTGTCTCCTTGATGGACTCTCCTTCTCCTTTTGTTTCTTTGGCTCCTATTGCAGATGAAGTTCGTGCTGGTCTGACTATTACTCGCTGCTCTAAAGTTTCTTATGTAAAGCGCACTGGTAATGGTGTTGCTCATTCCCTAGCTAAGTCGGTTGACTGTTTGTCCTCTTATTTTTGGTCTGTTTTGAGACAGTGTTATTGAGCACTTGACTAGTTAGGTTAGCCTACCTGCCTTTACAAAAAAAAGAAGAAATCTGTATTTCTACACAAGCCATCAACTTTGTGGTAAGGGCACGCGTTCACGACACTTTCCTTATTTTCTCTGACTCATTTATTACTTGCGGTTTTCGGTTACATAATGACGCCCGACTTTAAAAATCACCTAGTTCTATACGTGGTGATACACTTAAAATACAAAGTTTCTTTACCTCTAAACCCAAATTATACAATACAAATCTTTTGTTTTTTGTATTTGCACCGAAAAATTAAAGATTTACCAAAAACACTTTCTCCTTGAAAACCAATTTTTTTTTATGTGCACCCCTCAGCCCTCACTCTTCCTTTTGATGGGAGAGACCACTACTTTTAATTCTATTGTTGATTATTTAATGGATGATTATGAACAATTGTGGTTCTTCCAAATTTAATACTTGTCATACTCTCATGATTGCTTTTAGATCCTCTCCATTATAAAAAAAGTAGTGGATGCACCACTACTCTGTCGCGATTATTGATTATCTATTTGATGGCTAAGATTTCTTTCTTTAAGTGTAAAGTAAGAATGAGCGCAACCCATTGGAATATGGTGAGTATTGAATTTAGAAAGAAATTCACCTACCTACTAGATGATAAGTGGTTATTAAAAATAGTGGTTTCTCCACTATTTTTTTTGAAGTGAAGAGAATCTAAATCCCGTTCCTATTTGCACTGAAGAAGACTAATCATAACCATCCATTAAATGGTCACATGGCTTCAAATATATAAATACACGGTAACAGGGGAGGCAAATCCAAACTACTAGCACAAAGCCTGAGTTGAGAATGGTGTAGGCTGTGGACAAAAGCTTTGTGGTTCCGAGTGAGAAGACCCCAAGGCATTCTATATGGCTCTCGAAAATCAACCTAAAGTGCAACGGAGATTACGTGGTGGCAGTTTACGTGTACAGGCCTAACGCCGAGCTAAACATTTTCTCCATTGCAGATGCGCTCAGAGTGGCGCTGAGCAAGGCTTTGGTTCATTTCTATCATTTGGCGGGCAGGCCTGAGCTCAATAGGGACGGACGGTGCGAGCTTAGATGCACCGGAGATGGGGTTCTGTTCGTGGTGGTGAGGTACGATGGGAGGGTCGATGAGTTCGGAGATTTTAGGCCATCCCCGGAGATGAGGAGATTGCTGGTTCCTTCTGTTGAGTCGGCTGAGCCTCCAGCAGTATCTTGGCTATGATGCAGGCGATCTCGTTATTCTCTCTGATTGTGTCTAATTAGTTGTTTGGCATCCTGCAGAGATGAGTTGTTTTTTGCTAGGAAACAGAGATGAGTTGTTATGTGACAAGAGCCATATAATACATGTTTTGGTTTATAATTTGCTTTAATTTTGCTCTTTTGTTTTTGGTGATTTTCTATTTTGTGAGTACCAATTTTATCTAATATTTCTATGCAAGAAAGTATTTTGCGATTCCACATGTTTGACTACTGAGATCTTACCGGTGATGAGAAAAATATTTTGGATTATCCAACTTTGACAATTATAGAGCATTGCTTCGGTGCTCCAAAAATAAGAATTTACTTATGATTTAAATTCTTAAAAAATAAAAAACATATCGAAAATATGAAGGATATTTTGATTATTTCTCTTTCGATTTATTTTTCTCATAACCGTTTTCCTATCCTCTACCTGTTGCGCGCAGCGAAAATTTTGGCAGCACTTCGGCAGCACAACAAGAGAGTCAGGTCGCAATAAGAATTCTTGTTTCTCAAATGGAACAAGAATCTGAAGCCTAATATCCCATCAAAGTGGAATATTAGCTCTTTCTCTCGTCAGCTCTAGGACTGCGCGTCGAGGGAACCTAAAAAGCTATTACAAATCACCCAAATAGCAGTACAACCAATTTTACGTGGTTCGGCAAATTGCCTACGTCCACGGGGCAAGGAGGGGGAGAGATCCACTAATAGAGGGAGAGAATACAACTAGGGTTTACAATCACTCACAATCTAAACCCTCAAACAAACTCTCTCAAATCCCTCACAAACTCTCTCTACAAAAGATGCACAAAAGACTTTGAAAAATCAACAGCTTCTCAAAGTCAGCCGCCACGAATTCACCTCTGCTCACAAACTCACGCAGCCGCAAAAAACAATCACGCCCTGCAGCCAAAACCTTGCACCGTGCACCTGCCCTCTTTGCTCAACCCTAAAAAAAATCAAATTGATATTTATAGTATTCAAAAGCGAAACCGGGTGGGCCACGAAATTGAATTGAAACCGCGTTCTTCACGCGGAAACTGGGCCCCTCTGTCACGTGTTCACAATTCTCTACCTCGGTAAAGTTTTCCCAAAACTAAGCCGACACCAAAACATCCAAATGTCCCATTTGTTGTGACCAGTACGAACTCAATCCACAACAAGTCGAGAACCCGAACGAGAGTCCAAACAATCTCACCCCCATCAAAATCAACTAATCCAATCCGGCTGCATCGTAAAGACTGCCTACGTATCCTCTTGCCCAAGGAATCAAGCCGAACGTAGTTCACTCAAATGGCCGCCAATGGCCTAAACAATCACGGATGTGCAACAAGTTTTGACAATGATCAAACTTGTTGTTCGGAACCACCTTAGTGAGCATATCTGCCGGATTATCCTTCGTGTGGACCTTCACAATCTCCACATCGCCATCTTCAAGAACATCCCGAACGAAGTGATAACGAACGTCAATGTGCTTCGTCTGCGCATGAAAAACCTGATTCTTCGCCAAATAGATAGCACTCATGCTATCACAATGAATAGTGACGGATCTCTGCGATATATCAAGTTCCTTCAAAATTCCTCGAAGCCAAATAGCCTCCTTCACAGCCTCCGTAAATACCATATACTCTGCCTCCATCGTAGACAAAGCCACCGTAGACTGTAAGGTGCATCTCCAACACACCGGCGCACGGGTCAAAGTGAACACATACCCCGTCTTAGATCGGCGCTTATCCAAATCCCCGGCATAATCCGAATCAACATAGCCAATGCATAGATGCCCACCTGTAGTGTCCCGCTCATAAACTAAACCAATATTGAGCGTACCTCGAATGTACCTTAAAATCCATTTCACGGCGTCCCAATGACCCACTCCTAGATCATGCATGTATCTCGAAACCATGCTCACCGCCTGTGATAAATCCAGTCTCGTACATACCATTGCGTACATCAAGCTCCCAACTGTGCTCGCATATGGAGTCTTCGACATTAACTCACGATTTTCAACTGACTTTGGTCAAAGACCAGCTAAAAGCTTTAAATGGGCTCCCAATGGTACACTAACTGGCTTCGTATCCATGCTAACATGGAATCGCTGTAGAACCTTCTTCAAATAAGCCACCTGTGTCAAACAAATTCTGCCCTTCTTCTTGTCTCTGCCGATCTCCATCCCTAGAATGCGCTTCGCCTCGCCTAAGTCCTTCATCTCAAACTCATTTGAAAGCTGAACTTTCAACTCATCTATAGCCGACCTGGAAATAGAGGTAACCAACATGTCATCGACATAGAGCAACAAATAAATGTACGCACCTCCTTTCAACTTGCGAAAATATACGTAAGGATCAAACTGGCTCCGAGTGTACGAATGACCAATCATAAAACCATCGAATCGCCTATACCACTGTCGAGGAGACTGCTTCAAACCATATAGCGATTTCTTTAACATGCAAACCAACTTATCTTTCCCTGCAGCTCGGAATCCCAATGGCTGAGTCATATATATTTCTTCATTAAGATCACCATGAAGAAATGCCGTCTTCACATCAAACTGATCTAACTCCAAACCATACTGTGCCACCAAAGCTAGCAAAATCCGAATTGAAGAATGCTTCACCACCAGAGAGAAAACCTCATTATAGTCAATACCTTCCTCCTGTGCATAGCCCTTCGCAACCAACCTAGCCTTGAACCTCAATGGAGTGCCCTCAATGCCCTCCTTCTTCGTGTATACCCACTTGCAACCAATTGCCTTCCGCCCCTTTGGAAGCTCAACAAGCTCCCATGTATCGTTCTTATGAAGAGATTCCATCTCCTCCTGCATAGCCACTGTTCGCGGAAAAAATTGTCTTCTTCATTGAATTCATTGTTCTCTTTGGTAACTGTTTTTCGATTACAAAAGATCCGTCCGAACCGCAATTGAATCCTGAACCTGAGCCGTCGGTTCCTGATCCTGCACATTTGTACTCGTATCCTCCGTGTCACCGTCGTGCTCGCCTGGCATCAACTCAGTCGGCACCTGCATGGATACTATATCATCTGGACAATGTGGAGCTGCATCAATCTCCACCACCTGCGATATATCCTCCGTCGGGTCGCTCTCCACCTGATGAGAGCTGGGAAGCTTCAAGATAGAAGCCTCATCAAATGTGACGTCCCTACTCAGCACAATCTTCTTATCAACTGGATCTCAAAGCTTGTATCCCTTAACACCACGTTTGAATCCTACAAATATGGTCTTCCTAGCTCGAGGTTCCAATTTATCAGTTTTAACATGATAATATGTAGGGCACCCAAATCCTTGAGCTGGTCATAATCGTGTGTTGGCTTTCCCGACCACTTCTCCATAGGGGTCTTCCCCTCAATCGCAGATGAAGGCAGCCTATTAATAAGGTGGCTCACATACGTAAGTGCCTCAGCCCAAAAGATCTTCTCCAAACCACTCTGCGATAATAAGCATCGGATCTTCTCCAGTAAAGACCGATTCAACCTCTCTACCACCCCATTTTGCTGCGGTGTATGACTAACCGTGAAGTTCCTCTCTATGCCCTCGTCTCGACATAGCTGTAAAAAGGGGTCTGAAGTATATTCACCACCGTTGTCGGATCTCAACGTCTTGATCTTTCTCCCAGTCTGCAGTTCCAATCTCTTCTTCCACTCCACGAATATATCTAGGACTTCACTCTTCTTCGTCATGGTGTACACCCAACATTTCCTAGAATAGTCATCTACAAAAGTGACGAACCAATGTCGACCACCAAGTGATGCAGTCTTGGTAGGACCCCAAACATCTGTGTGCACGTAGTCCAGGATGCCCCTCGTCTGATGAATGGAAGTCCCGAACTTCACCTTCGTCTTCTTCCCAAGAACACAGTGCTCACAGAATTACACTTTACCACTCTTGGATCCCTTCAATAGCCCCTGCTTGCACAATGCCTGCAGTGACTTTTCACCTGTGTGCCCCAATCTATAGTGCCAAAGTCTGCTCATGTCCGCTTCTGAAATAGCCGAAGCAACCTGGCCAATCTCGGTGATTCCCTTCAGATAATATAAATTCCGATTGCGGACTCCTCCTTCAACTCACGGACTACTCCATCGTGCATCCTAATCCGCACGGTACCTATCCCACAAACGCCACAGGATTGATCATTTCCCATGACAACAACGCCCCCGTCGACTTTCTCAAAAGATGCAAACCAGTCTCGCCTAGGGGTCACATGAAAAGTAGTGCCGAAATCAAGCATCCAATCTGATGCATCCACATGGTTCACCTCCGAAGTAATCAGTAGAGAAAAGCACGAATCATCGGAATCATCGCCTTTCGCAATATTCACCTCATTGGCCTTCGGGCCCTTTTTCTTGCCATTCTCCTTCTCCTTGAGCTTCAGGCAGTCTCTCTTCCAATGTCCCTGCTCCTTGCAGAATGCACATTGGTTCTTTGTTAATTAGTGGTGGCCTCTAGACTTTGACCTCCCTCTGTTACCACCTTTCGGATATGGGCTTCTACCTCTTGTCGACAAGGCCTCTCCTGAAGTACTAGCGCGGGAAGTCTCCTTATCCTTCCTCCTCAAATCGTAATTTGTCAAAGCGTTAGTCACTTCACTATAGCTGATAGAAGATCTTTCGTTCAACAAAGTGAGCACGAAGGTATCATACTCCTCATCCGGTAAGGAGCCCAACAAAATAATCGCCTTGTACTCATCCGATATCTTCTCATCAACATTCACCAAGTTCGATAATAACTTAGTGTAGTTGTTCACATGAGCCGCTAGCGAGGTGCCTCTGGACATCTGAAATCTGAAGAGTCTTCGCAGCAAGTGCAACCTGTTCTCAACACTCTTTGTGAGATACTTATTGTTGAGAATTTCTCACATCTTCATTGCAGACGTCACCCCAATCACATCATATTTTAGCTCCTGTTCCAAATAGGACCTGATCACCCCACAAGCGTTCCTATTCATCTTCTCCCATACCGTCTCTTCATAT